GACAGAATCACTGCCTGCCAGATGAGGGGCTGAAGTTTTAGTGAGACTCAGACTGCAATCCCACCCAGAGCACTAGACTGCTGCCCTCACTAACTGGAAACTCTGCTGCCTTGCCACGTGGAGGCTGTCCAGTGCCAGGAGCATCAATATCACAGGAGCTTTGGCCTTAAACATAGCTGTCTAGCTACATTATGTGGGATTTCCTAAGCTCAAGTGGAAGAGGCCTGATGAAGTCACAGGCAAAAACCATCCTGCTCTCCAAGAGGGAAGAACCAATATACAAGTCCTTCACAAAGCATTACTATACCATGGGTCATTATAGAAAAAGGACAACATAACATTTATAAAGAAAAGACTTATACAATGTCAAGAAAGAAGCAGTCTACTTCAGTCATCATGAAAAAACAAAATAAACCTTCTCCTTAAAAAAAGCAGACCCACCCATTGAATATCCCATCGAAAGAGAACCAGAATAAATATGATGATGTGGAGTTATATGAACTATAGAAGAAGATGCAAATGATGGAAGAACAAACTGCAGAGACCACAATCCAGAAAAAATTATACTGATGAAGAGCAACTTGAACAAGAAAGAAAATTTTGGAAGAAAATGTAAAAAAAAAGGAAGAACGAATTGATAGTATAGATAAAGAGGTAAAAGAACTTTAAAAAAATCATACCAAAACTAAGAGGGTACAGACCACAAAGTACTAGAAATAACATAAAAGCAAGAAAATGCAACCCAGAATATTAAGACCAAAATGGCAAGAAAATGTCTAATAAGCTGGCAGGACAAATAAAGTAGGACTGAAAAGATGGATAAAGAATCAGTGAGCTGGAAGACAGAAACCTCACTGGAAAAATACTAGAAGAAAAATCACAGATGAGACATATAAAAAATATTAGAATCTTATGGGCAGACATCAAAAGGAACAACATACATATAATTGGAATTCCAGAAAATGGGAGTGACAGGAAAGTCACTGAGAAAATTGTGGAAGAAGT